CTCAACATCTTGTTGGTACATTGCACGAAATGTAAGTGACTCAAATTTGACTCATGCCTCCACAATTGATCATTCGACCTTCATCTTGTTTTGTACTCTTTTTTAATTCACCGAGTAGTCTACAAAAATTAAAAAAAACAATTATGATTCAAATTAATCAAATAGTATATACGTCACAATTTAATCAATTTGTGGCCATTAAATACCTTTTATACCAGACACATACATAAATAGTTGATGGGTCCAACTAACTTTGCCTCCTTTAGTAGTGAATCAACACTTGGATCATGCTTGTGAAGAAAGTTAGAGGAAATATTTTTCAAACTTGTGTAGGACTTCGATAATGTCATCACACAATTGTTTAACATCGGACTTGCACAAAGATCTTGCAGATAATTAAAAAAAATCTTGCCAACAACATAATCGGCTTCACCGCATCTTCGGGGATAAGGCAAATACCAACTGAGAGAAGGCGTTGGAGTATTATATGACAATCACGACTCTTGAGGCCGGAAAATTTGCCTCCGTACAAGTTTGCTCAACGGCGCGATATTTAAAGCATGCCCATCAAGAAATTGTACAAAGGATATAAACTGCAAAAGCTCTTTCCTCTTCTCTGATTTCACCCAAAAAGATGCAAGCCTCTTTCGTGTCCTTTGTTTTTCCCTCGATGTCTAGTAGAGTTCCAACCAATATATCAAACACATCTTCTCAACATGCATAATATTGAAGTTGTTTCTCAATTTTAATTTTGACTAGTATGGGAGCTCAAACAACAATGTCCTGTGTATTTAGTTCAGATGTGTGTCTAGTTTGGTCCTATACACCAATTTGCCGAATGGAGCAAAATCTAAACGATTCACCTAACCCAAAATATTATCTCTAAACTCAGGGCTGTCTCTGAGATTTCAGGGGTCCTGTTGGAAATTCATAAAAGGGGCCTCTTATAAGACATCTTAAAAAAATTGAACAATGTATTGATGCTAAAAAGCAATATGGAAATAAACAAAACTTTAAAAAGTCTAGAACTGAAGCTTCACTTAAAGATGGCTCTTCGTGCATTCTTTGTTGCAAAATCATCAATTAAATCTTCATAATCAAATCATCCACTGAACTTTGTGGTTCTTTTTCTTTCAAAAAGAACCTATCAATAGCTCCTTTTTGAGACTGAATGGATTGTTCAACTTTTCTTTTTCTTTGACGCTTCAAGTAGCCAGATGGATATTTTCTAGTAGGCGCCATCTTTTATATCTCAAACAAGATCACAAAAAAATTATAATAAGTATGAACAATGAAACCTGATAATCTGTAATACGTGTGCGTCTAATGATTTTTTGTGATTGCTCTTCTCTTGAGTTTTCCTTGAAAAGTACAAAAATAAAAATAAAATCATTATAGATGAGAAATACCCAAATCTTCAAATTTCGAGTCAATATACTTAAATTAGTAAATATCTTACTTTGATCGAAGTCTACATCACTCTGATAATTTGAAAGTTTCTCTTTAATTTCATAAATTTATAAATTAGGGTTTAATAATTTGTGGGAAATATAACAGTGGAACAAAGAGAGAAGGGAATTACACTGGGAGTCCGGAACACTGGCAGGCACAGCGTCTGAGATTTTGACTTCGGTGCTCTGGTACTCTGGTGTGAAAAGAAGAAAAGTGGAACGCATTTATGCAGCGTTGGGATTTTGGCGTGAGATAGTGTATCTGAATTTTGCCTCGGTCAATGGGTTTTCCACTTTAATTGATTAACTTTGCCGGTTTGTCTTTTATTAATTATTATTTTATATATTTTCGTATAGGTTGTAGCCGTAGGTAGTAGTCTAAGTCTGATGGGTCATGGGTGATGGCTTAGTAGTCTAAGTCTGATGGGTGATGGCTTTTAGCTTTAGGTAGTAGTCTGACATGGCTTTTAGGTAGTAGTCTTGGCCCATTGGATTTTTATATGTACATATTTTGATTTGATTAGTATTTATATATATTATTTATATATAATATTATTTTATATATATTATTATATTCAATAAAAATATATATTTTTGGGGGCCCCAAAATTAGGTAGTAGTCTGACATGGCTTTTAGGTAGTAGTCTTGGCCCATTGGATTTTTATATGTATATATTTTGATTTGATTAGTATTTGTATATAATATTATTTTATATATATTATTATATTCAATAAAAAAATATTTTGGGGGCCCTGTGCCATAGAACCGGTCGCATTCCCCCAAAGCCGGCTCTATCTGGACCATTCTCTTGGTCCTAGGTGAATCTCTATTCCGTTAAAGAAGACTTTATCGTTATGACGCCACTCGTGGTCTCACGACAACTATCTATGATGCCTTAGGTAACAAACTTTCTCCGAGTACCAAGCAGACGTTATGTCTTCCTTGCAAATTGCGCCTACCTAGTACTCCACCCGAACATCATAGCATAGGCGGAAAAATCATTTAAAGTCCACATCACTGCTACTCGCAAGGTGAACATCTTTCTGGTAGACTTAACGTGCGTATGAGCACCGTTTTCCCATAAATCTTTTAGTTGTTCATTCAAGGATTGTAAATAAACATCAATAGACCTGCCCAAATCTTCGGTTATCAATATAGTCATTGATAGGATTTTTACCACACGCACAAAAAAGATATTGTAGTATAAATGGTTCTAACAAGGTCGTTCTCCACAACGATTATTAAATAGTTCATATCAAATGAAATCTCAATTAATTACTTAATGGCAAAGTTTTGGAATGATTGATTTTGTGACCTAATGAAATAAAAATGAATTTAATTAAAAAGTAGAAAAATATGCAATATTCAAGAAAAGGAGAAAGTGGCGGTTTTTATAAATCAAATTGAGAAAGCACTAGGGTTTCGTTGTTACCTTAACAATCTTGTACAATTCTTCCAATTACTTATGATCTATAAATGCATATTTTGAAGGTTAGGTTTTCCTTATATATGCCTACTTGGACCATCAATATAGAGCGTATATCAAACATGCAATCCATTTGTGGTATTCAGATCAAATCTAAACTTGCATAACTCATTACGTTTTGTGAAAACCCTTTGAAAAACCATGCAACCTTTAAGACGTGATATTCATCCTAAGTGAACTTGCACATATTAACGATAGGAAGCCTTCGTCAATTTTAGGGACCGACCTCAGACCAAAATTGCACCAAATTACTTTTCTAAACATCCTAATAGTTGCGAATCATCAAGACATTTAGATAGTTTAAACCGGTGATTAATAATTCAAAAACCTACATGCATATTATCATAAGCAAATTCAAAAGAAACTACATATTTTTGCTAAGACTTGTGGCCTCACACTATCAAAAGAGATTAGTTATGCATATTCATAATTACAATCAAAAGGAATTGTATTGAAATAATAAAAGATTGAAAACACCTTGAATGTAAAAGTCTGAAAATCCCTAAGCTTGGCCAATTTCCTCTCCCAGATATCCCATAGAGAATAAGAGCAATATAGGGCAGGCCAAGCTTATTTAAATTGCTATCATTCAATTCTCTTAGAAAAAAGGTCTTCCAATAAGACTAGGAAACCAAATAAATTAAAATAAAATAGGAAACATAATTCTAAATTAAATAGTAAAATTCGCCCAAAATCTACACAACCATCTTTTTAACACTTCTCCAGAAGGCCACGAACCCATCAGAGGTCATCTCAGGCTCCAAAAATTGCAATTAAGCCAAAAAATGTCACTTTCCACGCCAAGGGATACATGAACGTCCTCCAAGTTGAATCACTTCAAAGTTCGTCTGTTTGATCATATTTTTCTCTAGAGGAAGTCGAATGTTCTATATTAAATATAAGAGCTCATTTGGATGTGCTTTTAAAAATGACTTAAAGCGCTTTTAGTGAAAATATTTTTGGAAACAATCCTTAGTAAAAATTCTAATAAATCCTAAAAAAAAAGCACTTAAAGTGCTTTTAGAACCCAAAAACATTTTCACTAAAAACGCTTTAGTCATTTAAAAAGCACAACCAAACGAGCCTTAAAGCAAAGTATCAAAATTCTACCAAAATAATTACTAAAACATGCTAAGAATAGGGTAAAGTATATAATATGAAATTTGACTCATCAGTCATCATCATATATTATTTCTTCATGCACTTTCAAAGCAGCAAATTATACGAAATTGCGAGGATTAGCGAAGTTTTGGTTTAGAAACCCGAACGGATTAAACATGTCTTTAGCAAGTCCCAATCTGATGTTCCGCAGTTCTCACGCAAATCAGGGTACATCTAGTCAAACTCTTTCCACGCCTCTCCATCTGCAGGATGTCTCATAACATCGTCATCCACTTGTCTGTCCTTATGTCATCTTATGTCACTAGTAGTGTGCGTTGAAATATACAATCTCTGCAACCTAGGCTTTAATGGGAGATATCGCATAACTTTTTCATGGAATCTTCGTCGTTCTATTATGAGATGTCATTTTAAACCGTGACCATTTTATATAAGGCATTTATCCACGCTTTATTCTCCTTATAGAACAAAATACAATTATTTTTGCATGCGTGAATTTTTGCATAGCGCAATCCAAGACCATTCAACACTTTCTTTGCACTTTTATAATCTTTAGGCAGGCAATTATCCTTTGGAAACATCCTCTTGAAAACTCCCAAAAAGTAATTAAAGCACTGGTTTGATATACGAAACTTTATTTTGCCATGCATCAACTCAACAATAGCATTGAGCACCGAAAACCCTTTGCAACCGGTGTATAATTCTTGCCTGGTATTTTTTAATAGTTTTTCATATTTTTCAAATGCTTCACTATCCTTGGTGGGAAGGACACCAACTTCCACTTCCTGATTGGTATTTGTAAAGGCGTTTGGAAAAATATCATTTATAATGTCCATAATTTGTTTTTTTTTTATCCACATTAGATTCAATTGTCTCCACTGATCAGGTCATGTGTGAAGATGAAGCATGTTGTATTTGTTCTCCATAATGATTCCACGTAGTATAGGTCTCCATCATCATATTTCTTACTAAATGGTATTGAACAGTTTCAAAATATCCAATCATTGAGTTGTTACAGTTCTTATAAAGACACTGAATTTGAGTTGAACCACAGTTGTTTGCAATTGCAAAATCAATGAACCGGTTTATTTCATCTATGTATTCATCAGCACATCTTTTAGGATTCTTTATCCCTGTTTGTCCATGTCGCCTGCAAACATAATAAAATTACAAGGGTTACAACAACTTCAATTATTACAAGGCCCTCTCTCATTCGAGAATACACAGTTTCATGTCGTAATTTAAGGCTCCAACACATTAGAGTTCAGTAGTGGGAAACTTTTGGTAGTATATCCCTGCAGTTCTTTAAGTGCATGACGTAGATACAAAATACCTATGATGCACTCGAAGAATGCAAAGAGTTGCTACCAAATTTTCTAGGATCACTCTAATTCGTGAACCGCAAACTACGACATCTAACTGTGCAATCTCAAACTGTCCAAAATTGTGGGACAATTCAAGAATTAATTGGACTACATTCATGCTTTTGCATCCATATGCGAAATCCAACTAATTCTCAAATGAGAAGTTGAGCTTTTACGAACACTACAAAACATTTTTTGTACATCCTGTACAAAACTATTTGCATACAAATAAAGAAAATCACAAAAAATCTAAAATACAAACTAAACAAGTTAAATGAATGGAAATTAAATTATTTAAGAAAATATACCTCCAAACTCGTAAAGTTAGACAGGTGGAAGTGATTTTCCTGCTGAGATTGACAAGACGTTTAAGAGTAGTCAGGAATTATTAGGAGCGAGGCAGTTGCTGCAATTGTTTTGCAGTTTCTACCTCCTTGCATTTTGGTTTGTGGTAATAAAGTTCATCACAATTTGCACGATGAAGGTATCGTCATGCAAAACCTCTGCCTTCGACACTTTTGGCGCCAATTCCCTCGCATTTTTGCCGTGTTTATCAACCTAGTGTGCGCTACGCACAAAATTACCTTTGTGAGACGAAGCTTCATCCCGCAACATTTATTTATTTTTCTTATTAATTAATATTTATTTTTCATTCTTTAATTTATTTTTAACCACATAAATATTTAATAAAAACATTAATAAAACAACACCCAAATAATCAAGAAATTATTTAACTAAAGCATTCATACATATTTAATTAACATAAACATTTATCACAATACCATTGCATCCAACAAAAACATTAAAGACATATTTAAAAGTACCGTTCATACAAAATAAACTTAAAAGTCAAATGTCATTATTCAATTAACCATAAAATTTAAAAATTTAAAATTTAAAAAAAAATAAAAAATAAAACAACAACAACAACAACAAAAAATCTACCCCACCGTTGGTGGTTCAGGTATTCACAGCAGTTTTGCCTCACGTTAAGCATCAAACTTCCACGCCAGAAAGACAACTTGGATATGTTGTCGATGCACTTCATCATATTTGGGTCAGTTTTGTAATGTCCCAATTAAGCTGTAATGCAAAAAATAATAAATTATAAATCAATCTAATATATTATTTATGGAATATAATTATTATTTAACTAATTAACACGTATAGCTAACTCATCAATCAAGTGCGTCTTGAACTCCTCGGGCAAGTCTCTCCAAGACTTCCACTCCACATAACATTTGGTATGCACTAATGCCCCAATTTTGCACCTAAACCTGGAGGGCATCTCCGACACACCAAATCCCTTTAATTCTTTATACGTGATTCGGTATCATCTCCCACCAAAAGTGTATCAAACTCGAGGCGCAACTCTCTTCTTTTTCTTGTCTACTAACAAAATATAAATTTTAAATAGTCAAGCTAAATATATAATTTATACCACACACCAAATTTAGTACATATTACCTTTTCTAGAACCTTTGCCCTCAATTCTCTTTGACGAAAGCACTAGAGTCGGCCATCGTACTGAAATTCAAACAACAATTGGAATAATAATCCAGAAAAAAGTAAAGTGTTTACGAAATGACACACCCCGACCCAGAATGTCTACTTGAACTCTGAATCGAGCTGTGATGGCCGACACCCAGAGGGTGACGAAGCCATAAAGTGTAGTGATGTGGAAAATGTGAATAAATTTAAACCTAAAAGTGCCCAAATATAAGAGTGCGTTTGTGAGCAGGAATGAACCAATTTCACACGTGATGTCAGAGCATAAGTAAAGTACAGTAAGGTAGGATAAGAATTATACCATCAAAGGTAGCCATCTATACCGAGATTTGCCAAGAATCATTGTCGACAAGAAAGCTCAGCACTAAAACAGATATTTGCAAGGTCACAGCCACTCAAACTAAAAAAGTTGGGGTCACCGATAATAATCGCACCAACATGGGGTCTTGTCTTGCCGAAATTGGCCGAAAAACGGTTCGAAATGGCCAGATCTCTTGCAAGAAAACTGGAGAACTTCCTCCTGTGTTGCTTCCCACACTAAATTCCGAGAGGTCCTTGTCGAAAAATATGGAGGTCGAGTTCTAGGGTTCGAGTTCGTAACCTTAGTTCTAGTTTTAGGCTGGAACGTTGATAACCTTCACCGATGTGGAGAGATTTGGTGGTGACTTGAAGGTTTGGCTCGCCGGAGACGACGAGTGGTGGTGGTAGAGGTGATTGCACCCTCTCGGTGTTTGCTGAGGAAGAAGAAAGAGAGTTGAGAGTTTGAGAGTTTGAGAGTTTGAGAGATGTGAGGTGGCAAGAAATAAGAGGTCTAAGAGAATGGGGGGACATAGGATAGGTGGAGTTGGTGAAAAGAGAGATGTTCGGGAGAGAGAAAAGGAGAGGACACAGGGACAAAGAGGAAAAGATGCCCACATGGGTGGGTTCCATGGACACAGATGTCCCATAAGAAAATAATAAAATAATAAGGGTGAATGTTTGAAATAATGAATTTACTAAAATGCCATTCTACTTCGTAGTTTCGTAAAATCTTTATCGTAGCTCCAACTTCGATTCCGCTTGTGCCTATGCGTTCGTACGGCCGAGTACTTCAAGAATATGGTAAAATAGAAGCTCGTACACATCACGAAATGTTGATCAAAGAAAGTCAACAATCTCTCTTCTAAGGGCATTTTGGTCAACTCACACTTTTAGAATTTATAAAATCATAAAATTAGGGATGGGTTGTCACACGAAATGAATTGTGAGGAATAGGGAGAGCGAAATTTTAAATTTAAAGGAAACTTAGGGACCTGGCATGACGAAGCCTTCGTTGTGTAGAACCCTACAGTTATAGCATTGATTTCTCCAACTCAAAAACTAACTGTTTGGCATAAATGTTGACTCCTTGCTTGACGAAGCCTTGCCGCTCAAGATTTTTGCTGTAAATGTTTTATTGTGCATTTGTTTAGTGCCAATTAAGGGCTTACCTGTGGTTTTCTTCCAAACTTTGTATGACAGTGTCCTTTCTTCATCGTGCAATGCCCTTTTGTGCGACGAAACTTTGCATCGCACAAATTTTTTGGTACTTTAATTTTAGTGTCATGAATTTGCGCGGCGCCTTAATTTCGTCATGCGAAACACCCTTGCACGACGTCGACTCCTTCATTGCACAAATCTGTCACGCAAATAGTTTTTTCTAGTAGCTTAAAGAGAATATTAATCCACTCAACATGAGGTGCTTTATTGATATGTGCTATTTGTCCCACATTGACTATTACCTTTTCTCTTCCCCCCCTAGCCACCATATAAAGAGGGGTTTGGGGAAAGGAGAAAACACACCAAGAAAAACAATTCTCTTAACTCTAGAGAGGAGAGAAATGCTCTCCACACTCAATACTCTTTTTCTCTCATAGTTTAGCCTCTAAGGTATCACATTGGCCCTAGGATTAGGAGGCTACTAAGAAATACAATGGTTTGAACCTTGTGCATTGGCACAAGGTACGTGGGCAATCTAACTAGACTAGATGCAACCAAATCCTCCATTGGGTGACACTCTCTTTCGTGGCTTATGCAACGGTTTGTAGGAACGAGACTGAGAATTAGAATTCGTCAATTCTGCTAGGTATATCCTATATCGAATTCTTTGTAATATTTGCCTACATTCGCAACAGTGGTATCAGAGCCATAGGGCTCGTTCCTCGCCTTGTGAAAAGCATGATATCCACCATGGTTGAATAAACCCGAAAAAATCACGTTTTGATTTGTCACGTTTTTTGAGGATTTATTTTTAGAAATACGTTCTCCTATGTGTCAGATTCATTCCCTCAAAATTTCGTGCAAACATGTGTCACGGTTTGAGAGAACTCACAAACCCTAGTTTTGTGATTTCTTGAAAATTTCTGTTTTTCAACTATTTTGGAGGTTGAATTTAGGGTACGTGTATTTGACTTTTCTGTATTGTTTTGCTTGGGCTTTGTAGATTGCCATCTGCTTCAAAACCATATAAAATATACGTCATTTGGACGGGTATTAAAGAAGATATGGCATCGCAAACATGCCTTTGCTTGTCTGAAATCTAGGATTTCTGCAGAAAATTTGTGAGAAATAACGTGATTTTATTTCCAGATTCGTGAGCCCTTTGTCGTGTTATTAGTGTCAGTTTTTGGAATTTGTTCCAGAAACAGAAGTTGTAGCTCGTAATATGGCCTTTCCAGTGAAATAAAATACGCTTCAAAACGGATGCATATCGAGTGTGATATGGTCTTGGGAAATTGTCCTCATTAAATTAGAAATTTGGAATTTACAGATTTCTTGAAGGAAGATCATTTCCACGATTTTGGGATATTATGTAAGTTTAAATTACTCGTCTTGATTGAGTATTTTATACGAGATATTATTTCATTTTAATTGCTCGTTCTGATGTTAAAGCATTTAAATGGAAAGAAAAATATTCTTTTGTAGAATATTATTTTATTGGCATTAATTATAATTAGGTGATTTGATTTTCATATTATCATGATTATCAAATTAGAATTAGAATTATTAAGAGACTATTATCTCATTAATTAATGTGAATTAATTTTCTAAGTGGTTATTTCTTTATTAATTATTTAGAATTGATTATCTTCTTAATTAATTTGAATTGATTATCTAAGTGATTATCTTCTGTAATTAATATATAATTGTTTATTCTAAATTATTTAATTACGAATAATTGTGTATTTTATTAGGCTTCTTATGAGCATGGCATTTAGGAAAATGATCCATATTTAGGATGCTCATCCCGCATGGTCTAGTTGGGCACAAAATTAGATATTGGGCTGGGGTTTACTAAGTAGTCACCTCTTCAAGGGAAGGATCTTTAAGAAGACAACTGAGGTGTCTAAGAGGGCCGGTTTTTAAGGGCTTAGTGCTGCCACCCCTCTTAGATTTAACTTGGCCACATTTACTGAGACCCAGTTAATGAGCTCATTGTGTAAAACTCTAATTTAAATCCAACAAAGAGCCCATTATATGCATGGATGCTATATGGTTGTTTGGGCCTTTACCCTTTTTTCTTTTTTGTTTTTTTGTTTTTTTTTTTTTTTTTTTTTTTTGCTTTGCAGTCTTTGGATGTAGTGACACATCCCGATCCAGAAAGTTCACTAAGACTCTGAATCGAGATGTGTTGGCCGACGCCCGGAAGGTGACGAAGCCAAAAAGTGTGATGATGTGGAAAATGTTAATAAATTTAATCCTAAAAGTGCCTAAGTACACGATGCACGGTGAACGGGTATAGACCCATTTCACACGTGATGTCAGAGCATAAGTAAAGTATAGTAAGGTAAGATAAGGATTATACCATCATAGGAAGCCACCAGTACCGGGATATGCCACGAATCCTCGATAATACAGAAACTTTGCTACTAGAACCTGGAAGGGCGCAAAACAGAAAATGTGATTGGGCAAAAACAAAGATTTTCAAAACCATTTCTCTTTCTAAATAATAACCCTTCACTGTAAAACCCATATAATTTCCCAGAAAATAATAATACATACGTATATCAAAACCATAATTGAAAAACCAAAATCCACATGTATGCCATGTCAAATATCTCAGCATAATGAATAAGTAAACCAAGTGAAGTAAATTAATGAAAGTGAAATGTCAACCGGATCCACCTATTGTGGCCTGTACGGCTGAATCTATAGCTCATCAAGTATGCATGCACACAAGTCGGAACCTCCTAATGTGGTCTGTACGACATGATTAGGTGTAATAAGTACGCTCAAGTGCTACGATCACATGAATACTATGCGAATAATCGCGGGTCACCTACGAGTCGAAACCACCTATAATGGTCTGTACGACAGGACTGTGCACCAACCTTGAATCCAAGGTGAGCGTGCGGTGCGAGAGGTGAACATCACGTGAATGACTGTGCCCTGGCCATGAGCAAGAGCACTAACACCGAGGTGCAGGTTTATGAGCTCTAAATGCATCAAAGGTAATCATAATAATCATATAACTCACATCCACAATCTATAAACTCACCTGGAACTTACCTAAGCGTCTGCAGTGTCAACAATAACATAAGCAACTACTAAATGCATATTCTAAATATAAAACATTTGGCATGGCATTTCAAAGCATACAACCATTTAAATAAGTTTTCTGGGAAAAATACCAAGCATATATATATACTGAAACCAAAAGCCCACTCACCTGGAGTCCACGCTACAATTCCCTAGCACAACTTCGAGGCGTCACGAACAATCGGCACTAAGGACTATTTTGCAGGGAAAAGCCCCAATTTCACGAAAATCTGCCGGAAACCCTATAAAGGGTGTGTTTGATTCGACCTCCAAAACAAACTTTGACGCCCCCAATGTTGATTGGGCTTTGTTCCTGGCCTCAAGGGAAGTCTAGTGGTAGTGGTAATTCAAAGAAAACATTTCACAATTGGAGGATCAACACTAAGAAATTCTCAGACCCATGGGTGGTTTTCCCCGCACAATTAAAGCAAATCTCATCGGGTTTTGGTTAGAATTAGGTGCTAGGATGTTGTGATGAGGTTGGGTGGTGATAGAAGGTTGAAGAAAGCCGGAAATTTGGACGGAAAACCGTCAAAAAACACTAAAGGAACCGGGTCATCGCGCGGGTCAAAGGGAAACCCGACCCATTCCCCTCCTTTTTCTCCTCCCTCCTTTCCCTCATTTCCCTCTTCTCTTGTTGGTCTGTTCCTTTCTCTTTCCTCTCCTCATTCCTCCACTTCTTTCCCCTATTCCTCCTTTATTTCCCATCCGCACAGCCCATCTTTCCTTGCTTCAATCCCAGCCACACACGTGGCATGACTAGATTAAACTCTATAAATCTGGAGTTTTCTAGAAAATAGAAATTTACAATTTTACCCTTGACTTTAAACGTTAATATCTCCTTCATTATAACTCCAAATTGTGTTCCGTTTGCGCCCACGTGTTCGTAGCGACGAGTACTAATAAAATACGCCAAGAAAATGAACCTTACGTGACATGACACAACAGTCAACAAAAGTCAACACTTTGCCTCGAAGGGCATTTTTGTAAACTCACTTATTAAAATTATAAAAATCATAATTTTTAGGGACGGGCTGTTACATGTAGCATGAAAAAGTAATGAATTGGGCCTTTGCCCATAAATGATTTTTCTTTAAGATTTTTGGAAAATCGAAATTGAAATGTGTTTGGAAAAATGTTTGGACAAATTTTTCCAAATAAATATTTGTTTCCATGATAATTAAAATGTGAACTCAACCTATGATATTGGGTGGTAATTATGAGTGACTCAGTGGATTTTTCGATCTTGATGAGGTTCATATTTTTTAATTAAGACTTGTGAAATAAATAATAAAAATGTGTTATTGATATATA